AAGGGACAAGGCAGGAGAAAGAGGCTTTCCCATTGGTTCTGGCTCCTGCACCATGGGGCAGTGGCGTGGGATGAGGCATAGCCTGGGAAGCAAGTGTCAGATGATTCTCAGACCCTGGGGAAGGCTTTGGCATCCAAAGGTTTTTCTGCTCTGGCTTTGAGGAGAGTGCCAACACTTCCCAAGCTGATTCTAAGTGATGGCGCCCCTAGTGGTGAGTGGTCCAACTGCAGCAGACCCTGTTAAGAAACCCCAACAAGCCCTGCCTGATCCCATCCATGCCCACCTTCCTGCTGCTATTAAACCAAAAACTACCAAATCCTTTATCTTGGGAGAAAATCTCCAAGTTTTCAAGGAAGGACCAGCGCAGAGTAGGTCAACTTCCCAGACTTAGTGCTTGGTAGGAAAGGGAGAAACGTGGGCTCTGAAAAATGGCTCCCCAGAGTGATGCTTAGGCACCCTACTTTTCTAAATCACCCTCGTTAACTTAAGGGTGCAGTCAAGGGGAAGAACCACTGAATCAATCTCTTGGATCCTGAGGTCATCATTCTGGCTGCAGCTCACTTGCCGTGTGAAGTTAGACAAAGTCCTCTCCAGGCTTGGCTTTCTTCTCTTATGATATAAAAAAATCAGTGTTGAGGGGTGGGGAGCCAATAAGATCAAGCAGACAATAGCACATAGTAGGTTCTCAATTTATGGTCCTAATATATGGGGATGGGGGTGGCCACCAAGCAACTACTTCACATTCCCTGGGCCCCCCCGTGGACTTGCCACATTCTCATTGGAGATAGTGGATGGGTGGGATTGTGATTGAGAGTCCCCTTCCCTAGCAAGGAGCAGGTGTGTGTCTCAGGCTAGGCAGTGGGATGCTCCCTCCTTGGAACAGGAGCTTCCAACAGCTATAGCTCGTTTCACCTGAGTGGTGGCACCCTAACCACGCTGTCCTCACCAGGTGACTATTCCCAAAGGTCTCTCTTTCTGGAGCTGCCTTGCTTTCAACCCAGTTCCCCAGTCTCCCCTGGACTCTGGGAATGCCCGTTATCCTTCCAGTTTATTCCCTTTTCCCTAGGTTAGCCAAAATGAACTTCTCTGGCTTCGGGCCAAAGACAACTGACACTGACAAGTGGAAAAGAGGGGATTCCGAACCCCTTCAGGGAGAGGACACACTCTGAGCGGTCCTCAGTCCTTGTGACAGGAGGGCTGAATCCTGGGGCGGGGGGGGTTCTTGAGGGCAGGATTCAAGTCCTTAACGTGGACTTCAAGGCCCTAACAGGATCTTGGCCTCCCACCATCCTCCTTGTTCATGCCACTCCAGCCCCACTGGCCTCCAAGCTGTTTGTCACACCCAGTGACACACTCCCATCTCAGCCTTTGCACTTTCTGTTCCCTTTGCCTAGAATGCTCTTCCTCCAGAAATCCTCAAAGTCTACTCTTTCTCTTCTTTACTCAAATGTCACCTCCTCAGTGAGACCTCCCTCAAGCACCCTACTTTAAAATACAAACCCCACCTGTGTGGGCCCTCCTTGTCTCCTTTGCCTACCTAATTTTTCTCCAGAAACTTCCAACATGTCACATCATCTGCTTATTTTGTTGTCTACCTCCTAAGCCCTTCAAGGGCAGGCTTTTGTCTGACTTGCTCACTTCGATATCAGCAGCACAGTAACCTGGCACAGGGTAGGTGCTCAATAAATGTTTGTAGACCTGAGTTGCAGTCTGGGTGGCTGTGGTCAGGAATTCGGTGGAACAAGCGTTGGTCCCAAAGAAGCCATTGCCTGCCTGGCCCTGGAGGTCCTGGCTGACAGGTGCCCTACTGGGGTCCTGGGAGGATCCCACTCTCCCAGTGATCTGCATGTGGGGAAGGGAGCCACTCAAGGCCTGGCCATATCTTGGAAGACTCTCAGTAATAATAAAAAAATAACAATAACAATAACAATAATAATAATAATAAACAGCAGCTATCTTTTACGGTTGCTGGCCTTTTTTCCCAGGTCTCGGTTAAGTGCTTCACATTCACTATCTCATTGACGTCTCCTATCATTCCTATGATGTTATCATATTATATCCATTTTAAAGATGAGAACACTGAGGCTCGAGCCTGGCACAGAGCGGACCTCAAACAAATGACGCCTCCCTGCTCAGCCCAATAGAGGTTGTGAGGGACCTGGGGCGCCTGGCGTGGGGGGTAGGGCCTCCCGCGGAGGGCGGGGTGCTGGCCGTTCGGGGACCCGAGCGTGCGTCCGGCCCCAAAGGACCCTCCCGCCCGGCGCCGGGCCGCGCAGAGGCGGCTCTCCGGAGGGGCG